CTACAATATGTACTTGTTCAAATAAAAACAGTCCTCACGCTGTTTTGCATGCTGCTTCGACCCCCATTGTGGTTTAGAGAAGCGTGGAACAATGTGAACTATGTCTACAATACTATCGGTCGAAACGACGCTACTGTGTTGATGTCCATTCAACTTCTCCCATTTCAATTTCTTGCAACCTGTCATGTGTTGCCGTTCACTGTCGACCTCCTTGTATCATTGCACAAATCCGCAGCTGTGTTCCATATTACCGCTGTCCGCAATAATGAACTCCACAACAAAAAACATGGCTACTGATGCAAACCATGTGCATTCGTTGCCTTCTCTAATTGCGACGTCACTGTGCACTGGTCTCCCATCGAACTGTGGCGACGCTCTTGCAGTTTGAACAAGTGTGCCCCTGTTTGTTCCGTCCTGTACGCAAGCGATGGCCAGGTGTGTCCGTGTGTGTATAAGCAGGTCGTCAGAAGGAGGTTGACAACCATTCTCCACCATGTATGTCGTAAGCCCAACTGGAAAATCGCGTCTGCAAGGAAACTCTTCGAGTATCTTACACGCATGGTTGTCTATGCCTTCTCCCCCGCGTATGTACTCGTCATCGATGTCGAACCACCGCAGTTGCAGCATTGTTGTGTCGCGTAGTGCGAGGGTGTTCATTCCGGTTGTCATACAGTCTATCACGGATGACCGGTTCTCAACCGTTCTCTTCCTTCGTTTCCTCACGATCTCGATCTCTTCGCACAATGCCAATGACCGACGCACATGGTTCACCATCTGGGTTGAAGCTTTCCACTTGTTTCATGACAGGTATGACTGTTTGCAGAATTTCCTGTGGTATTGCTCCCAAACATCTGCCGCGAAGGTATCGGGGACACCGGATCGCTCAATGCACGTTTTCAGATGCATGAGATTATGCAACTTGGGGAGTTTCCATGTTGATGGTTGATATTTTTCCAATTTTTCTTTGATGGTCGTTATGAAGTCCGTGATCAAAGCGTCGCATTCATCGAGCGAAGCACGACTGTGTGTTGTACACCGAAACACTCGTATGTACATTTCCATCAGTTTCACAAAACAAACGGTAATGCCCTTGCCTGTCGAGCGCGGTATAATATTAGAAATAAGGAACACGCACACTGTCATCACAGACCGGTTTTGCTTCGCCTCGAACCGTCCCTCCCTCGAAAAAAAGTTGCTGCTAGTGGCCACCGGCAACACAAGTAGGGTGTATGTTCGCGTGCATCTCTCACTAAGGCTTTGCAACCTTGCATCTAGTTCCTTCAGGATCTCTTTTGCGGTGAGTGCGGCAACTTCTCAAAGGCTGCGGTCCTGAATGCAACAATCATGTGCAGGAATATGTCGTGCTCGATTGTGTGCATACGGTCTGGTTGCAATGCCAGGTGGTAGTCTAGCTGAGGAATGTCACCATTGGGGCCCCCTGTAGAACCCCCAAAGGCCATTCTGTTGAACATGCCTATGCATGTTCAACTCCGACATTCGTGCTTCCGCTACACGACGAACGTTGATGTCGTCGGCGGTGAACACATCTGCTGTGAGGTGTGTTTCCAGCGTATGTGATCTCCTGCAGTCTATGAAATCGACTCTGACATCAAAATCGTTTTTGGACACGGTGCATGTCAAGCATACACCAAACTTCACAGTTGCAATCGCACATCGTTCTGGGTAGTCCTGGATATAGTTGAGGAGGAAAGGGTGGATAGTTATGTCTCGGAATCGCGTTGTCGGTATCATTATTCCGTCATGAGATGCCTCCTTCGCAGACTGCAACACCACTGAAAGGGCCCTGTGCAAAATGATGGCCTTTCGCTTTCTGAATGCGGTGGACTGCAGACCCAATCCTTTGTCACGCGGACGATGATGAAGCACAGGAAGATAGGCCAGCAGTGTGGCTTCGGATGCGTGGTCGGCTAGTGACATCATCTGAGGTTACGCCGTCTGTTTTTGACGACCGTCTGTATGTGTCTTGTCGGAATACAATGAAAGAGGGATAACATAACGTGGATTACCATTTTCGTCCACGCCTTTATCCGCTCGAATGATCGACTGGATGTGATAACTTAGCGCCCCGCTGCGTGGGCCGGATATACTAAGGTGCTCTGACGGCGGAGACACTTCTAGAGAAGACACCGTCTCACATTTCTGTAATGCGATATGAAAAATCGACAGAAATGTCGTTCGCTAGTCACGGTGCCACAAGATGGCGTGCGCATCCCGTGGCCAATCGTCACAACGTAGATCCAACTCTTTCCATCCAGCAGCGTCTGCTAGACTCCCTACCCATGTCAAACACTCTCGACTATTACGATACGCAATGTCTCTCGTGCAGAATCTCGGGTCCGTGAAAAGTGACAAGAGAGCATCGATGTCGCTCTGAGACATACCGACGCCGCCCTTGGCGGAGAAAAATCAGTGCCGCCAGCTTGCGAGAGCTGTCAAAAGATTCGACAGACTGCGGTTGCTGCTCTTCGAATGTCCCGCCCTCGCCGTCTACATTCTCGGGGGCCCCGACGTCCTCGCTCTCATCGCTCACGAGATTCACTGCACCTATACTTGATGCTCCGGCGTTATCGACCACACCCATCTCCTTGCCATGTGTTCTTTCGTCCGCTACGGCCGGGCATGCCCTCGCACGATGTGAGTTCAAAGTTCGTAATGACATGAAAGGCCTACCACAGTCGCACACCCGTGGACCGCTGTCCATTTTTTGTGCACGAAGTGCATTCCAAAAACAAACAGAGCGGTGCTGATAGTGTTTTCATTAGCATTTTGTACATTAATTCGGGTCGTTAGAATTATAAGTTGCAGAGCATATTTTGTTATATTGTGTAAGTGTCGCACATCCTCTTCTCTGTGAGAAAGAGATAGAGAGGGAGTACTTATTGCCGTTTTTGGTACGAATGGTCTGTGTCGCTGATCCCAATTGACAAAGATTAGTAGTTAACCGTGCGACATGATAATTTATATGCCGTGGCAGGTTCTATGGTCGTGCACGAAGAGGCAACGACTTACGCATGGTACACGATATATGACGCAAGATTCATCACCACGGTTTTGCGGGTGGCCAAGTTTGTAACTATCCATCCACGACGTTTGTGAATGTGGTATGTGTTTTCCATGTCCGCGTGAAAATGATTGCACCTCGACACCTCAGCCGACCTCCGCACAAACTTCCAAAATATTTCACAACCTACTTTATTTGAATTTAAATTACAGAGAATGCAAAAAAAAAACATAACATACACACATTGGTCATCACAGGGGGTCTGATGTGTCTCACGTACTCCAAAAGGCAACAAATTATGACATACATCGTAACAATCATCAAATGATTGAAATATTGTTCAATCCTGTGTCTGCACGCTGTAGTGAACTCTCTCTCTCTTGGAGAGGCAAACAACAGGCAACATAAAATGTAACTCGCAGATGGATGTAGAGGTTCTAATGAACCCTCAACAGTCTGCAGAATCCCCTCACTGATTACACTGTAAATGATAATCTACCTTAACCAAAATCAAAGTAGACTATCACTCACCCACACCAGATGGAAAACTCTACAGACTGTCGGTTCACAACCCATCACAAGCCAACAAAACATCCACCAAACAAAGAAAGGTCTGTGACAGCCATATATATATATATATACATATATATCGTCAAATAGAACTGCCCGGTAAACCGTAGGCAGAGAGGGAGAAAAGGATAACAAACGAGGGGCTGTGACAAACTGTTTCGTCGGAGTTTCATATATATATATATATATATATATATATATATATAGGGTTACCAGCCCGTACATACGGAGGCCCGCGGGCGGACCTCCGTACGTTCGGGCATTTGGGGTCCCGTACGGGGTGTGAACCCGACGGCGTTCGGACCCCGCCAAAACTTATTTCGGGGCTTTTTTTTTTTTTTTTTTTCTCAATTGTTTTTTTACGAGTTCCCTATGACGTGAGGTACATGCCTATAAATTTTCAAGTCATTTGGCTTGGCCAAATAAGAATTAAAAATCGCCAACGATGGCGGTGTCAAAACGTGCTCGCCCACGTTTTTTTTCACTTTTTACTTTTTGTTTCCACTTTAGTTCAGGGTCTAAACAATTTTATTAGTTTTTGAAACTTTTTTAGTGGGTTTTGTATTATGTGAAGTACACATCTGTAAATTTTCAGGGCGTTTAGCTATGCCAAAAAAAAATGAAAAATTGTCAAAGATGGCGGTGGCGAAAACATGCTCGCGCACTCACTAAATTTAATTCTCTTTTTATTTTTATTATTAGTAATTATTCTGTGTATTTTATTTTTATTTCAAATTTGGTAAGTAATTCGGATGTAATGCTCAGGCAAATCTTGTTTAATTTATTTAGCTCCATAACATATATTGTTTTCAGATTTTTTTGATTACCTTTTTTTGTTTTTTTTGTTTTTTTTTTTGGTCCTTGTTCGGCCCGAACGGCCGAGCGCAGGTTACCCTATATATATATATATGTTTACCGGGAAGTTCTATTTGATGATATATATATATATACACACACACACACACACACACACACACACACACACACACACACACACAGAGACAGAGAGACAGAGAGCGAGAAAGGAGGTTCACTAGTGGGGGCCAAAACAACAACAAACAGCACCGGTGGACACTGATATGGCATGCAGTAGTGAACCCGACCATCGTTGAAATTGAGGTAGACATAGAGGGATGTACAGGTTGAGGGATGCATGTCTGTAATCATCCCTGATGTCTAAGATGGTCTGTCGTGGTGTGTGGGTGTGTCTCCGGTCGCTGCCGTGACCGAGCACTAACTATTGCGTCTCCTGTTGACAAGTCGGGGTGTAATGTTTCTCCCCAAGCTGTCGCCATTGCGCCGTGTATGAGGCAACTCAGGTTGACTCCCCATGTCAGTGACGTTGCTAACACAACCTCTGTATTAACCAGAACAAACCATCCCTTGCCAACACGTGACCACTTTTTCCCCTTGTTGCATGGTTTTATTATGCTGGTCACTGCGGCATACTATAGTGCACCATCTAGTGTTACCCCCTTCATCACAACACGCACCACTTTGTGTGGATCGGGAAAAGCACGTGCCAACCTCAAAATTGCATGTGCCCTCCCTTTTGTCACTTGTCCACCCGCACCCTTCAAATTATAGTATACATCATGTTCCTCGTCTTCCTCGTCGCTGCTGACATCGCTGCCGCTCACTTCCACGTCAGAAGATGATGCCCCCTCAATGACATCCTCTTCTTCATCTTCTTCTTCTGCACTGTTTGTGTACTCTGCACAACAACTTGGCAAATCGGCCTCTTCAAATCCACGATCACACTGTTCTTTCTCCATTGTGAAAGCATTGAAGATATCGCAACACACTAGCTGCTCTCTCGTTCCTGTCTGCATGAGAGGCACATCGACTGCCATACTGGTTATTGATTCTTGTGCTGCTGATGTCTGTCTGTTGTCTGGAATGATTGCTAAATTTGTTTCCGTGGCCATCACCTTCCACCCTTCTTCTTTTTCTCTTTGTCTCTCAACATCGCAGCTTGCAAGACCGAGCCGCTCCAAAGCAGCTGATAACAACTCCCCCCACAACGGTCTGCCGTATATGATGTTGTCTTCTGTTATTGCTGGCACAAATTCTATCAGATTTTGACCCTGCAGTGCAAACTCTGTCATTTCGTGCAACGCCTCATGGATGATATTCCTGTCATCGTCACTCTTTTTCATGAAGTCCACAAATTGATCCAGCAGAATATATTCCACACCTTCTGCGACAATGACAGAAACATCTTGAAAGTTTTGTGGCGGTGTTTGTGTAATGTCCTTCATTCTGGACAACACCAATATTTCTGTAGCACCACTCTTCAACTCCTCCTTCGACCCATCAACCAGCATTCCCCCATTCCGTGCGACAGTGCCCAGCAACTTGCCCAAGTTCGCAGGTGTATATGTTCCCCCTGTCTGCTGCATTGTCATGTCCACGTCTCCTTCTTCGCACATCCCTTCGATGCAGATCTAATGGACCACTCCTTTTAGACTGTATGCACTGTCTTCCACATCGCTGTCCACACGTACATGTGGTGACTCTCTGAAGCGTTGAGAGAGTGTTCGTGCTTTGACACAGCCCTCGCCGTTTGCCATGATTGTGGATCTCATATCCACAGCGACTATGAAGTACCTCGGCACCATGTTATGAAGCAAAGACAACTTGCTGTCACCGTTGTAGTGGACGCCCTTCTTTGCATACTTCATTACCTCTGCAAGAGCAGCCGCCACCTGTGCTACCGACATCGACATGATACGTACGGTTTGTCTTTCGTCCTCTTCTCTCTGCCAGCGGAAACGCATAATGACGTCATCGACATGTGTGTGTGTGTGTGTGTGTGTGTGGCGTCTATGTATGATTCTATGTGGATGTCTGTGTGTCTTTGTGCATATGTCTATGGATGTGTGTGTATGAATGGTCTGTGCGTGTCTGTTCCCAAGTTGGCTACTGCATGCCATTCGAAGTCGCAACGATAATCATTCGCCAGTTTCTGGCACGCAGTAACCAACTTTAAGGGTGCATGCCAGAATGTGTGTGTGTGTGTGTGTGTGTGCGTGTGTGTGTGTGTGTGTGTGTGTGTGTGTGTGTGTGTGTGTGTGTGTGTGT